TTTGTGTATTAACACATTTCACAAATGGCGCTAACCAATTATTTTCGATGATTGATCGGTTGCAATGAACCAATCATCAATTATGAGATTTTAACCAATTCCCAACACTAGTGGTCAGGCTCGCTTGCTTGGTTGACACATGTCATCGTATCCCAACAGACTACATCGATGCTCATGCTGTTCATCACTGGATTGTCTGGTCAAGAGTCGATTATTTACAGACCGCCGCCATATAGCTGTAATATTGCTGAGTCCGGCGTAAAACTAAACATTTTGACCAACTCTCTTTCCTAACCCCTAATACCACGCGTTGGGCAGAGTAACGGCAAGTATCGACTTTATATTTGACGTCATTTAGTATGGCTCGACAATGGTTTTCGAACATCGACTTTCCGCTTTTCAAGCAGACGTTCTATCCACTACACCGTGTTGAGATATAATATAATATAATATAATATAATAGCATATTTAATACGCGCATATATCCATGCTAAAGCATGCTCAAAGCGCACAAGATAAAGATGAGATTAATGGTAAAGAGCTACAGTTAAAAGGCTATCTTGAATATGTGTGTTTTTAGATTGGATCTAAAACAGTCTCTGAGGCTCTGCGGGAGACTGTTCCAGGCTATAGATCCTGCATGGACAAAGGACTTCTTTCCATACATCACTGTCTTAACTTTGGGAACAACAATCAAGTTCTTTTCCCGTGAACGGAGAGATCGGGATGGCGTGTACACGGTTAGAAGATTGGATAGATAAGAAGGTGCAGTTCCAGTGAGACAGCGGAAAACAAGGCATAAGAGTTTAAACTGGATCCTGAACTCGACTGGAAGCCAGTGGAGAGTGTACAGTATAGGAGTAATGTGTTCATATTTTCCAGAGCGAGTCACGATACGGGCGGCGACGTTCTGCACTCTCTGCAGCTTGGCTATCTAAAAGTGGTATGTAATACAACAATATTGGTCTGCTTATTGACATTTATTAAACTAATATCTCGAAGGCGACATTATCTAAAATGTCTTATGTGTATACGCATCTATCGGAAAGATTAATATTAGATGATAAGAAGGATCCGGTTCGCCCATGTGATACTATTGAAACCTGGTGCTTATCTGAACTATCGCTTCATATCCTTGAGGGGCTCATTACTGAACAGATGGTACACCGGCATTTGAGATATATGTGATACAGTAATGGTAGAAGCATCGTCGACGGTGTTTCGTCTCATTTACTATCCATGCGACCCAAGTCCAAGACGGCATTTGTTGAACATTTTGGAATTACAGCAAGTATGACAGAAAAACCCACGCATACCGATGCGATGACATTATCACACGTCAATCAAACTTGGAAGTACGTGCATATCAGAGTGTCGTGTGTCATGTGTGACCTTGACAGAGGGAAGACAAGGGGTGTCCTTTGACATTAGAAGGCATAAGTATTCAACAGCGAGAGAAGGGATATTATACGTAAACGTAAACCCGGAAAAAAACGCAGGCACAAACGCACGCACATACACACGCACGCACTTTTAAGTTTTATCTTCAGAATTAATTTTTAGAATTCTTAAAACCGCTTACAGGTATAATTTGGATATACTTCTGATTGAGGAAACGACAAATTACACACAAGTGTTGTTTTACTTTGGTTTTATTAAAAAGGTGCTCCTTCTTAATAGGTCAAACTTACATTCCTTTTGAACGGCCTGAAAGCGGGCAAAACAACCCTTTCTCAAACCGGTAGCCAAAGTATTGTAAGTCTCCATGGTCCCTAGCACGGTGATCAGCTTTCAGTTGCTGGCGATATATAGCCCATTTTTACATTGTATTGTCCAAACATAGTTTTCTACTTTTAAAAATATATGCTAGCTAGTTTTAAATCGTTTTGTGATAATCTAGTAATATTACTGTCCTTCGTTGACAGGGTTTTATATATTATATGTATGCATTATGAATTTAGTACTAGTTTTAGTCACGATATGACTGACATATATATTGCCAATATGACTTTGAATTTTAACTCACTCACTCACGTTCTCAAACCTCTATCAACAGCACAAAGGGCCTCAGTAAAGTTTTGCAAATCTTATGGTGCTCATGATGCAAATAAAGTTGGGTTACTGAAGATCAGTTATAAACTGGATCTTCACGAGTCCGTCCACGGTTCAGGACGAGAGATGACGCGAGTCACCACCCCACTACTGAGGCACATCCTACAAACAAAATCGATTAAAGAGGTCCAATTCTAACAGAGAAACCTAACCAGCTTAACTGAGCTACATATTTGTCAGTAATAGAGTAAGAGTGAGTGAGTTGGGTTTTACGCCGCTTTTAGCAATATTCCAGCAATATCACGGCGGGGACACCAGAAAAGGGCTTCACACATTTTACCCATGTGGGGATTCGAACCCGGGTCTTCGTCGTGACGAGCCAACGCTTTAACCACTAGGCTACCCCACCGCCCCTTAGAGTAAGAAGAAGAGTGAGTGGATGAATATTATATTACGCCGCTGTGAGCAATATTCCAGCAATATAACCACAAGGCAACCCCACGCCCAAGTCTGTCTGAGAGAAATATACAGCTCCGCTATGCTCCATGTCGTGTCTACACAAGCAATGTATAAAATATATATTGGGACACAAACATGGTTTTAACACAAATTTAGGGATCGTGTATTCTCTGTTGATGTGCTTTGTTCAGGGTGGCGTTATACACGGGGTATATAAATTAGCCTTGGTTTGAACAAGTAGGGCGCTTTGTCTGCGGTGATATACGGTTCTATAGTGTTGCTGAGAGATTTTAAAAGATACATAGCAGCTGTTTGTGAGCCGAGAAATTATTGCCCATTATAATTTGAAAACAAAATATAGCATTCCCAGAAATTATTAAGAAAGTTGTTTCGACAAATATCTATTACATGTATATAAACTCAATATTTTTAAGTCCTTTTTTCGTTTATCATATCCTTCACGACATCCTCAGTAGGGTGGAGATCTGGGCTGTACAGTCCGTTTGAGTCAGAAACGGACCGATGAATTACAAATTCTATCATTGTACAAAATTGCCACATAAATATAAATAGTACGCATGTTTATCATTTACTAATACCCAACAAAAAGTTCTTTAAGAAACTGTCATTAGAATTTTGACACAGTTCACTATTTCTTACGAGGGAGGAGTGCAGAGAAAGGGACAGCCAGGTGTGCGAGAAAGGATGGTGACGGCACAGCACAGGCTAATGAATCAATAACTTGGTGGGCACTTGCTTCGCGCACACCTGGCTGTCCCTTTCTCTGCACTCCTCCCTCGTAACAAACTGTGAAATGTGTCAAAATTTCAATGATAGTTTCTTAAGAACTTTTTTGGTGGAGTCCGGAAAAAATTCAAATATAAGAAAGCTGTTGGGTATTAGTAAATGATAAACATGTGTACTATTTATATTTATGTGGCAATTTTGTACAATAATAAAATTTGCAATGCATCGGTCCGTTTCTGACTCAAACGGATTGTACTTGGGCCAGTCTAAAACTTGAACATTATCGCACCACAAGCACTGTTGTGTGTAGCCCGCAGTGTGTTTTGGGTCCTTATCCTGCTGGTAAAATCCAATTATCTTCATAGTGTTCAGGCCGTTGGAAGGAGGTGCCCATTTAAGATGTCAACATATCGTTCCTTCGTCCTGTGAATATACACAACGGCGTCACTCCACGTGACGATATTCCACCCTACATGTGAAACTTTAGGCTTTTGGGGGGGCGTTGGTAGATAATTGTGCAAAAATCACCAACATCTGAAGCAAATGATGTAAATCCAGCTAGGGTCCATTTAGGCAGCAAATGTACTGTAAGTCCCCACGGTCCCTAGTATGGTGATCTACCTTCAATTGTTGGTGACCTACAGCCCGGTTTTTATATTGTTTTGTCCTGTATCGTAATAAATGTTTTAATGCATACATGCTAGTTTAAAATTTCTATCTGTGATAACCTACTTGTTTTACTGTCCTTTATTGACAGATTTTACGGGGAAAATATTATTAAAGTATATATTGTTATAGTCACGATATGGCTGCAATATTGCAGATGTGACTCTTCACTCACTCACTCACTCACTCACTCACTCACTCACTCACTCACTCACTCACTCACTCACTCACTCACTCACTCACTCACTCACTCACTCACTCACTCACTCACTCACTCACTCACTCACTCACTCACTCTTGTCTAAGGGTTTCATTACATACCTGAGGACGTACTCTATTAATCATCTCATTCTGATATTCTCAACGCTTTTCAATTTTCCACTACACACAATCTTGCCAACTCGCCGGCGATCCGTAGTACTGAACTTCCTTGGCCTCCCTGCCCCTGTCTTGTGCTTAATCCCAACTCTTTGCTACATATCCTTCAAAGTTCTGTATACTGTTGACAGAGGAATATCATGTCTACCAGCTAACCCTTTCGTATAACTCAAACCCCATTCAAATCATCTAGAACCAGCTTTCTTTTCTCTTCTGCGATCAAATCTGCCATGCCAACGAAGGAAGCCGTCTGCTACACCGGAGGAGATGACTCTTGATGTAGTAAAGGTCTCATTGCCTATTTTTTCAGTCGGGCGCGACTGGTGTGTGTTCAACTGAATTATTTATCTAAAATGGTAGTTCAACAAATATATGAGACTTTTGGGGATAATACAATCTATGTGAAAAATATTACAAAGGGGACATTTTACTGATTTCAAGCCAAATTTCAAGCAACCATTTTACGACTGCTTCATGCAATCAACTAAACGCAAATTGGTGTTGAGTAGCTGAATCACAACATGGCGTTTTCTCGGATGTCATAAACCATTTGGACATACACGATGATATACCAGTGGCGCTACTCTCACTTTTATAGCACAATTAAATTTTATCTAAGCATTTGCAAGAACACTTGCTTGAAAAATAATATCCAGACTGATGAATAGAAAGAGAGCTTTATCTCATCTGATTCCCTTTTAGACCAAAGATGTACAATTAAAATTTGCATACATCAATATATTTTGTTGGAAAATATATCAAGCTATCTGATTTATCACTTTGGCTCAATTATCTCATCTAATCGTCTTTTAAAGCAAGGATGCACTATCTTAAGAGACATGGACAAAAGTATCGCAACACGTATGATTTTTAGCCCAACTCAGCCATTTATATTCAGGGCCGTGTTTGTGTGATACTCTGACATATTGATTTTACGTGTTGGAAAATATATCTACATGTATTTGTTTGATTCATCGCCTATAGCGATTTATCTCATCCGCTTCTCTCTCATTGTACAGAGGATAGCACTGTTTACCGCTGATCAAGGTCCGAGGCAGACACACCCAGGGATCATCGGTCTCCCACAGCCATTCGTACAGCTGCTTCTGGAGGGATTTCAGCACTGCTTGGTGCGAGGAATCCAAGGCCAAATTTATCCTTTCCTTGAAATCAGCCCTGATATCGTAAAGCTCCCATTCGGACCGATAATAATATTCCGACATGGACTTGAACCATACCCAAGGTTCAACACTTGACCTTGACCTATTGAGAAGGTCAAGGAAGGTGGGAGAGAAGTATACATCTGTTGCTATAGGATACGGGGTATCAGGGGAAAATGTTGTGAATGAGTTTGTATTGGGATGTTCTGAGTACTCGCATTGGATAATGCTGGTGAACGCCATGTAAAGTGTGACTTGAGAACACGTGGTCATAGGTCAGATTGCTTGGGTTCGCAAGGACCGGAAGTAAGGATTTGCCTGAGAGCTCTACGACATCCGAAAATATCTTGTATTTAGGGTAGGAGACATTGAACCAGTCTAATACTGTCGGCGTGAAATCCATCAAACTTGCCATTGACTCGGTTACCTGAAACATAATTTATTGACATTTACAATTCTGAATTTCTGTAATCATAAAAGAGTTGGATGATGCCTGTTCAGTATACGTTTAATGATACGAGGCGGTGGGAGACAGTAACTGACCAAGTGGGTTTGGGGTTTGGGGTTTGCGGTTTGTTCTCCAACATCTTACAGGATTTACAGTATTTACCAATGCTGCATTAAGCGCAATACGTGATCACTCCCTCTATTGTGCAGTTTGTAATATTATTTCCTAAAACAATATAACCATAAGAACCACATCGACAGAATTACAAATGCGAAACATGATATGTCTATACTTTGGATTGGTGGGGACAACACAAAGAGCCGGGTTCGATTCCCGACAAAGGTTCAATGGATGAAGCCCAGTTCTGGCATCCAAGGGAGGGAACTTTGCATAGCGACTTGGATCTGAATGGGTTATTTTATAACCTTCATGTCCTTTATAGTACACTGATTTCTCTTATTAACGGCGGTCTGTAAATAACCAAGTCTGGACCTTACAATCCAGTATTCAAAGGATCGATCTCCTCAACCTGATTACGTGTCAACCAAGTCAGCGAGCCTGATCAACTGATCCCGTTAGTTGCCTCTTTCAGCAAGCATTGGTTGCCGAAGATCAGCTCTAACCCGGATCTTCCCCGTAGGTGCCTGTGGAGTTCAGGTACGTACTTTCCCCCAACTGTCCTTGTGGAGTGGGGATGATATCATCATTGGTTCCCCCATCCCCGGGTCATACAGATTTGTCTTGGCGCCCGGGAAAGGGATGCCATTGTCAGAAGAGAAGAGAATGAGAGTGTCATCCATGTACCCAGCTGCTTCCAGAAGACTGAGAAAAAGACCTATGCCTGAAATAGAAGACAGATATCCACATTAACGTAGGAGCTGATGAGCAAGTGTTGCTGTCTCATACAGGATTAGTAATTTTGCGTTGGTGGTACAATTGGAATGTCGAAATGTGATGACTAATCTTGAAAGTGATCAACAGTTCAGAGAAATAGACTAGATAAATGATGATTTTTTTCTCTAGTATATTTCATCCAATTATCAAGAATATGTTTTCCCTGAGTAGGATTTGAGTTTAATTTCATGACTGTTGTAACTGAATACAGAGCATGCATCGCCTCTCTGAAAAGCAGTCTAGTTCTGGCGATTTCTGGCGATTTCCCTGGGAGTTACGGGGAACCGTCATAAATCTTTCATACAATATTGAGACGAAGTTGGAGTTCGAAGTCAGATCATTATCCTAGCCCATACAAGGGACACAACTCCGCAGCACTACGGAGGATATGAGTTTTTGTTGGGTTTACCCTGGTCCATTCGGCTGAAGGTCGTGTACATGTCAGCAATGTCCTGTCTGGTCGCGGGCGTGTCCGGCAGAAAATAGGGAACGATGGCGTCATCAGGGCCGTATTTAATAGGCTTCCAATCGGAGATAACCCCCATTCCAGGTTCTCCATTTCCAAACCTCTCACAAAATGCACCATATTTGGGAATCTGGTCACATCGATGCGGATCGTGGAAACCAATATAGAGAAAGAAGGGCCTGCAGGAAAAGGTTACGACTGACTGACTTACTGAGTTTGGTTTTACGCCGCTTTTAGCAATATTCCAGCAACATCACGGCGGGGGACACCAGAAATGGGCTTCACACATTGAACCCATGTGAGGATTCGAACCCGGGTCTTCGGCGTGACGAGCCAACGCTTTAACCATTAACCATTAGGCTACCCCACCGCCCGAAAAGGTTATGATGTTAACGATGTTCAGTGATGGTGGTACAAAATCTCGGGTTCAGCAATATTCCAGCTATGTGACGGCGGTCTAAATAACTTAGTCTGGACCAGATACTCCAGTGATTGATCTCATGAACATCGATCTATGAGTAATGAGTAAGTTAGTTGGGTTTTACACAGCATGTAGCACTGATATAGCAATATCACGGCGCGGGACGACCATAGATAGACTTTACACATTGTACCAAATTGGGGAATCGAACCTGGGTCTTTGGCGTGATGAGTCAACTCTTTAACCACAAGGCTATCTCGACTATTACCAAGTATTACGGAGGACACACATTGTCTGCCGCCACACATCCACTGGGCGCTAGGGCTGGGACGAAACTAGCTGCAACTGCCCTGTTACCAGTCACACAATAATTCAACAAGCGGTCTTAATCTGGAATTTCTGGTGTCCCCTGCCGTGATATTGCTGGAATATTGCTAAAAGCGGTGTAAAACTAAATTCACTAACTCACTTAAAGCTTAGATGCACCAACAAAATCAATATATTTAATACACAATTATCATTTATTCATGACATATAATATACATTGCTGATTATGAAAAAACACATAAACAAAATTATAAGCGTACAATCGCAAATCAAAAGTGCAATATTTTGTACTTGGATTTACTACCCTCGAAACGAAGCACCCGGGACACCAAACTCAGTCAGAGCGGATGGCTGTGTACTTAAGTGTAACGAAGCCTTTCAGTGGCTGGTTCATTTGCAAATACGCTCTTATGTGTGTATAGGCATCCCTGTTCAAGCCGCATGCGCTATATGCGCAGCGCAGCAGAGCTGTTGAAACCACTTTTCACCCCAGCTGGGTTTTTTCTTCAATGAATCGTTTGAACCCCGATTTCGCGGGATTTTTTTCATCGCGTTATAACTTTATAAGTAGAATTTGCATTTTTGATAATTTGTTACTGTAAGTCCATACCGAAAGGTATCAGAATCTGCAAAGTTGTGTTTTGCGTTACATGTAAGCTTTAATCTGGATCTTCGGCGCGATGAACGAATGCTTTAGACACAACGATAGTCCTTATTGTTAAAGAGTTATTGCGTAACTCAGTGGTTAAAGCGTTAGCTCGTTATGCCGTTGGTCGGGTTCGATTCCCAAAATGGTACAGTGTGTAAGGCCCACGGCTAGTGCCGTGCTGATATTGCTGAGAAATACTACTGAAGGCGTCCAACTCTGTCATATACAGTCAGCAACGTGTATAACTGTTTGCTCCAATCCATGTACTTTTTAGTCGAAATGCGAATAACAAACAACGGTTATAACGAACTACAGTTATGACGAACAATGGTTATAACAAACTACAGTTATGACGAACAACGGTTATAGCGAACAACGGATATCACGAACTACAGTTTGTGGCGAGCAACGGTTATAACGAACTACAGGTGTGACGAACAATGGTTATAACAAACTACAGTTGTGACGAACAACGGTTATAACAAACTACAGCTGTGGCTAGCAACGGTTATAACAAACTACAATTATGACGAACAACGGTTATAACGAACTACAAATATGACGAAGAACGGTTAAAACAAACTACAGTTAGGATGAACAACGATCAAATGAACTACAGTTTTGACGAACAACGGTTATAACAAACTACGATAATGACGAACAACGGTTATAACGAAATAAAGTTATGACTAACAACGGTTATAACAAACTACAGTTGTGGAACAACGGTGATAACAAACTACAGTTGTGACGAACAACAGTTATAACGAACTACAGTTATGACGAACACCGGTTATATCGAACTACAGTTGTGGCGAGCAACGGTTATAACAAACTACAGTTATGACGAACAACGGTTATAACGAAGTACAGTTGTGACGAACACCGGTTATAACGAAGTACAGATATGACGAGCAACCGTTATAACGAAGTACAGTTATGACGAACAACCGTTATAACGAACTACAGATATGACGAACAACGGGTATAACGAACTACAGTTATGACGAACAACGGTTATAACGAACTACAATTAATGGTCCCTCTGTTACTGTACTGTCCCAACATACCTTGTGTCATTTTCCTTGAGGAATTCCTCGATGTACTGCTTCATATAGGTGATATTTCTTCCTATTTGATTAGCATCATGTGTTTCTTCCGTTTGTTCATAGTCAAACTTGTACACCTCATCTGGACCAATGTGTTTCTTGCCTACGATACCTGAAGATGAATATCAGTGAATGTGTGAAATTTAGGGTTGTAGCTAAAACTTTACTGTTGAGTCCCATTTCATCCCTCAATTCTTAGGAGTTGAATACGTTGATAATTTACCGATGACCTTTTTGGCTAATTAGTACCTTGAGTCGGGGTACCAAGTTAATTTCCTGACGGCTTAACTGTTTAGTCTCATTTCATCCTTTAGGTCTTAGGAGTTGAAAACTTTACTATTTACTGATGACACTAAGTCAAGCTAAGAGAGGAAAATCACCGGGTTTCGATAATATTCCAGCTGATGTTTTGACAAATGACATCCAGAGCTCCAGATAAGATTTAGCTCATGTGGGTACTGTACCCACTGTATTTTTTGGGAGTGGGTATTATGAATGTTTAGTGGGTATTTCATTTTCCGTTACCCACTGCTTTCAAATATGTGCGTATTTCAGTCATTTTACTCACCTAAGTATTATGTCATTGAGTTAGTTTACTAAGCAGGTATGTTCTGCCTTATGTCATACCTAATCAAAACCAACTTAAATATAATGGAAATGATTTCATAAAAAATCACTCATCCTTTACTGACAGTACAACACTTGTCCTAAACTAACAGTACGACTTGATAGCAATCGATGTCTTTTTCATTACGCAAGCGATTTCTATGAATATATTCCGTACGCATTTGTTTTAAACTTTTTGCGTATCTAACAATTTAAATGCGTAATTGGTACGCAACAAATATTTTTCAATGCGTAATTGGAAATTTTCTATGCGTATTTTACCCGGATACGCAGCTTATCTCGGCCTCTGACATCTATATAGATTATCTTCATACACTGTTTTCTATGAGTTGTGTACCCTCCAACTGGGCCCAGGGGATCATTACCCCTACCCCTAAGTCTGGAGCTGACAACCCGAGAGACCCAATGTCTTATCGCGGCATCACACTTGCTAGTGCATCATATTATTATGATTAATAATTTGTCGTTGGGTGCTGATATAAGGATATCAACGTTGTGTATCAATATTCCCTTTGTAGTTTCAGATGGCACAGAGGTTGTTTTTAGAGATTTCGCTTAGAATCGAAACTGAAAGAATTTGCTTTTACGAGAAGAATTTATTGAAGATGAGTGTCATGTTTTATTGCATTGTCCTTTGAAAGCTGATGAGAGATTGCAACTTTTATCTAAATGTACAAGTCTTTTAAAGTTCATTTTTATTCCATCCGCCAAAACCTGCCTTAATATTCTTAAAAAGCGTACTGCAAAATTATATATATCTTCTTAATGTAACGTGTACTCTTTTTATTGCATTTTTAATATTCATATATTATACTCTGTATATTGTGGCACAAGTGTCTCTCATCATTCAGTACGGAATGACTCAACATTTTACTGTGAAATAGCATTTTAAGGTTTAGCGTGGTTTTTAAAAACTTTGTTTTCATTATTTAGGTATTAACAGATTAGGCCATTGGGAAGGAAAAGGTATTTTTCAAAGCACATATTTCATGTTTGTCCTCAGCGTCTTCTCTCTACGAATTATGTGACAATGGACAACTGTTCCTCCACACAGCTGGGATTTTCGACTCGAATTGTGGTGGGTAGGGTTTCCAGAAATGTAACTGTGGTCCTAACCAAAGTAAATCGATACCTTGTAAATGTTTTAAAGTGCTACTGAAGTGTAATAGCTTGTATCATAACAGTCTATCGTGTCCAAACAAAAGAATTTTATCAGCATATACTCTGTACTCGCATTATACATTTGGTGTTCTCTATTTCAATAAAGGCTTTCATGAAATCCCTGAGCTACTATTTGAGTAATTTCATGAAATCTCTGGAAATTTTAGGGAATACATGAAATCCCTGGGGGTAACAGGGATTTCATGAAATCACTGACTCTTGGTTTCAATCATTCCCTGTAACATATACAAATGACAGCAATATAACTATTACTATATATTAATATATATTATTAATCATCACAATATAGTACCTGTAAATACCCAAAGGGAAGCAATATAACATTCAGCTTAATGAAGTGTTCCTACCGGTCCTGATGCCAGCGTCGTCGAGGATGACGGGAAGACTCCTGACGTTGTCGAAGGAGTTGAAATGGTGCCATGCACTGTGGATTCCATACATGCCGTTCTGGTGCTCCGGAAGACCGCTTAGAAGTACAGCTCTTGTGAAAACATAAACCACTTTAAGGCTGTAGATCGCAAAGTGCGACCAACTTTACATGTAACCAAGGGAAGTAACTGTATTATTGTTTGGCACGAGAAAAGCGCCGGTCGACATTGTGTCGGGCACAGGGGCTTGTAACGCTAAAAAATGCCATCAAGGTATATACTGTCACTGACGGGGTCTTAGTACTATATAAAAAGGAAAGTCATGTAACGAGGTCAACACACCAGGTTCGTTTCAGGGCGAATTCAACAATGTTCACTGTATTTATCCCATTTAAAGTTGCACACATTAAAGCTAATAGATTTACCTACACAATAAGACATACAGCACAAAAATCGAAGCAGTACTTTGGGAGCTAGGGTAATCGGAAGCTCGAAAAATCGTGAATTCTCGATTCCGAGCCAAAATCCCCGCTCAGAATTTGTAGCGGTAACTCACCCATTTTCTTGTTTATTTCATAGTATACACAAACGACATTCACCAAAACATGCTGAACTGATGGCACCTGTCAGCGTGCTTGTCGCCATTCTTTCAGAGACACTTACATCTCACTGTCATAATGAGTTTACGTACATTTATTCATCGCAAACAGAATTGTTTCGTGCCCGTTCGCCATTGACGACCTTGGCCTTAACTTGCCCCGCACTTAAAAGAGCAAGGGAGCTCATTGGCTAAAAAATATAATATGTCCAATCGAATCGCTGACTCTTTTCAGCGCGGGGCAGGTTAAGGCCAAGGTCGCATTTTCGTTTATTGTCAGACAACCACAAAGGCCATAAACAAGTACTTCATTTTAAACTGTTTTGATCAAATTTTCATGGTGTGTCAACCTAATGGAATTGGAGTGCCCAACGCATCGCAAATATTAGACTAATACTATGCTACTGTGTGAAACCCAAGAGGACAGAGCTGAGATATTATAATCATGCATTGGGTACATATTGTGCCAACAGTCTTTCAGTTTGGTTGTGATTGTCTTTTCGGAATGTATTTCTTGCTTTAAAAAAAAATCGTTTAATTAATTTGAAAGAATAATGCATCTATTATATTGACATATAGTGTACGTCTACATGTAGAAACAGCAAACTGATATAATTGTAGGGCTACCTTGTGGTCTATGGGTCAGATCCACACAGCTAGCATAGCGCTAAGGTGCTCGCAACTCCCATACTATGTATGAACTGTCGTTGGGCTACAACAGTTTCATGGTACGAGGCCGCGGTGTGACTTATATCCCACTAGTTGGCCGTTAGATCGGACATGGATTATGCATATTAGCCCGGAAATCAGCTGCAGATCGACGGCTCGGGTCTCGGTTACGTCTTGCCAAGGGAACAGCTCACATCTGTATAATCTCGGGTATGGCTTCTGACTTACCTGCATGTAACAGCGTCAGATCGAAGGCTCTGGTTTTGGTTACGTCCTGCCACGGGAACAGCCCTCATCTGTATAATCTCGGCTATGGCTTCTGACCTACCTGCGTGTAACAGCGTCATATTGACGACTCTGGTCTGGGTTACGTCCTACCTGCATGGATCAGCTGCAGATCGACGGCTCCGGTCTGGATTAATTACGTCCTGCCACGGGAACAGCTCACATCTGTATAATCTCGGGTATGGCTTCTGACCTACCTGCATGGATCAGCTGTAGATCGACTACTCTGGTCTGGATTAATTACGTCCTGCCACGGGAATAGCTCACATCTGTATAATCTCGGGTATGGCTTCTGACCTACCTGCATGGATCAGCTGCAGATCGACGGCTCTGGTCTGGGTTACGTCCTGCCTGCATGGATCAGCTGCAGATCGACGACTCTGGTCTGGGTTACGTCCTGCCTGCATGGATCAGTTGCAGATCGACGGCTCTGGTCTTGGTTACGTCCTGCCACGGGAACAGCTCACATCTATATATTCTCTGGTTTGGCTTCTGATCTACCTGTTTATATCAGCTGCAGATCGGCAGCTCTGGTCTGGGTCACGTCCTCCCAAGGGAACAGCTCACATCTATATATTCTCTGGTTTGGCTTCTGATCTACCTGTTTATATCAGCTGCAGATCGGCAGCTCTGGTCTGGGTCACGTCCTCCCAAGGGAACAGCTCACATCTGTTTAAACTCGGGTTTGGCTTATGTCCAACCTGCTTGGAAGGACTGCAGATATATGACTCTTGCCTGGGTTACGTCCTACCTGCTAAGGGAACAGCTGCACGTCCTTGTCTTGTGTATGACTTATGTCCTACCTGCTTTGGACATCTGCCGATCGACAGCTCTGGTCTGGGTTACGTCCTACCTGCTTGTAACAGCGTCAGATTGACGGCTCTTACATAGGTTACTTGTTTCCTACAGGGACTATCCTATGGCCTCTATATCGGCTATATTCTACCTGCTCGGGGAACAGCTGCTGACGGAGGTATATCCGTGTTTAAACAGAACACTTCTTGCAGCTAGTTTGTCAAAATTTGGTGTCTTGCAGGCGGTGTTGTTATAAGCTCCCATTTGAAAACCTGCATCGTCACCTGGTCATCAACAAATGAGGAAGATTAGTTTGACAGATTCCGTTTCATTCTGACTTCCCATGAGAAACATATAGTAAGTCATGAATAAGTTGTACATGGACGTTTGCTTGAAAGCTATCATGCTGAACCACCAACAAGTGCATGTCAAATATTAAAACGTAACTACATCGCAGTACTGACTAACGGGATCGCGGATGGTCAAGCTTGCTGACTGGATGGATTCATGACAAGGTACAGCTTGTTCAGCTTGACCTGATCAAGTGAATACTAATACATTGCGTGACCGTGTCACAACTGGTTTGGTCCATGATTGTTAAGGGGTGCACCTTTGTCAGTTGATTGTCAACATGGTCGAACTGCCGAGACAAGGTCGCCGTTTGACATCTCTGTGTCTAAAAAATCGTCAGCAAAGTCCTAACTTAGAAAAGAAGCTACAGATGGTTTAATGTTGCCGAATCGAGCTGTAACGAATCCATGTGTGCATGTTTTGCACGAACGCAACATCAATAACATTCTCTGCTCCCCTGTTTAATGAAGTTAACTCGACCAGCCGTTTGTGCCATTTGACCTCCTGGGTCATGCATATGTAGAGTAGCTCAGGTCAAGCTGAACAAGCTGTATCACAGTTGTGTAGATCGATGTCCAAGATGCCAGTCACGGGGATCGTCCTGTCAAGGCTCACATAGCCGGATAAATAGTTGAGTGCGGATTGAAACCAAAACCAAAACCAAACAAACAAACCAGTATCAGACTGGTTTCCCTCCACAAAGAATCGCCATATATGAAGGAGTACCTACTGACGATGTGAACGATGTGTTTGTTTGTTTAACGCCGCATTTACCAATAGTTCAGCTATATGGCGTCAGTCTGTAAATAATCGAGTCTTTACCAGACAATCCAGTGATCATCTCCCTGGGATAGCGATCTACGCAATTGGACCAATTCTAAGCCGGATCTTCACGAAGTGAACGAGAACATAATGTTGTATGTAAAGAAGTGTAAGTGAGTGAGTCAATATTAACATCGGCAATATTTCAGTCATAGAATTGCGAGAAAACAATATCTACATTACCATATAATACAATACAGTGTTAAAATGTGTGAACAATATGCAACAACACAATAGATACAGATTTCAGACCACAACTTGGATGTTATCATAAAGAGATATCACTATACAGAGCAATAAATATAATAACGGGCTATACATGAAGATAGATCATTATGACAGAGGCCATGGTAACTTACTTTCGAAACATAAGAGAAACAAATCAAAGTTTGTAGCCATTAATGCCATTTAGAAACTGATCAAATGTAACATGATAGATACCAGACTTCCATCTTAGCGGAACCCACGATGGCTGAGTGGGTTTGTATGCTTTCTATCAGTGAGGGTTCGAATCTCCGTTTGGAATCAACCCAACATCGATACTAGAATCTGTATTTTATTGAAAAGGTGTAATCCCAAATATTATATTTGTATAATTTATTTTAATTTTAATTTTAATGTTTTTATTTCCCAGTACATGTTTACATGACATTATAATATGAATAGATGTTCACATATACAAGGCATACATAAATAGATAGTTTCTACAGGTTTGGCATAGGGCCTTAGTCGGTGTTACATTGGCCATTCATTCTTTGCAGATATTACATATAGATAAGTAGGCATCGGTACATACTGTTGTTTCGTATTGTATATGAATTACAACTTTAACTGTTTCTAATCACTCGCAAGGCGTAAATCATTTTTACATTAAAGTGTACTCTTTAAGCATTACAATTAAATATTGAGCTACAAGTCTAAAAATAGCGTGTGGAAAAAGGACCAAAATGTAAAACTAATATTTGTATTATGTTACCAGTTAAAAGCTGTTCCTATCTGTCCCTGGTATGGTGATCTACCTTCTGGTGTTGGCGATCTATAGCCTGTTTTTATATTGTATTGTCCAAATAGTGCTATCAGTTTTAACTCTCCACACTAGTTTTAGTTGTAATTGTGATATTCTAGTTGTTTTACTGTCCTTCGTCGACAGGTTTTTTATAACGTACATATATTCAATTTCAATGTCAAATGTTCTCATTTCACTTTTTTTGTATGAATTGTTTTCGTCACGATATGGCTGAAATATTGCCGATGTGACGTTAAATAATAACTCACTCACTCACTCACTGTTCCTATCTAACAGATATTCCTAACACATGAACCAGTACCTACCCAGAATGAGAAGGACGTTTCTTTTTGCTCCTACGAAACCCAGCCGAAGGACAAGGACGCCCACAAATAGACTCAGGCCGAACATCTTGTTGAAAGTGACTTACATAGCAGTTGTGCAGTAGATGCGCAGACATATCTCAGGTCAGTAAATAGGATATCATAACGAATATGTGGAATGTTTGTGATAACAGTGAGATAGGGATGACAATATGTGTATCTTAACTTCAGACACAACTGATGAAGGGTTAAAATAGAAATCGTTTGATGGTCTTGTTTTTTTTAGAATATTTATGTACATTTATTTATCCAACAACCGTTGTTTAAGGATTCTTTTAGTTCTGCTTTATGTATTTCTCGAAGGATAACTGTCACAAACTCTATACAACTGCGAAGCGGATTTTGTGTTTGTGGTTGTATGAAGAACTCTGCTTCCGCCAATTTACAACAGTGTAACTCCTGCGTTACTTAGCATTTGCAGGGGCGATGGGGTAGCCTAGTGGTTAAAGTGTTCGCTCATCACGCTGAAGACCCGAGGTCGATTCCCCACATGGGTACAATGTGTGGAGCCCATTTCTGGTGTCCCCCCGCCGTGATATTGCTGGAATATTGCTAAAAGCGGCGTAAAACTAAACTTACTCACTCACTTAGCATTTGCATTGATTCTCCGCCGTAAAGAGTTGTGTGGGGTGAAATACTGCACCCTGACTTTCATGAAATGCGAAAAGATGCTTCTGCTGATGGACTTGTGGAAGTAAATCAGACGTTCGAGTATAGCAAAAAACCAACATAGTACGTGCGCCGTATGCTAAATTTACCAGATTAAAGGATGGTTATTTTATTTGGTTGTATAGAACGCCCAATTGTTCCATTGTCAGGCGGTGAAGTTTCTTAAATATTTTCAGCAGTTATAAGACATAGTTGTGTGAAATAGTACCATGGAAATCTCAGCCTTTGAAATAACAACAATAATCCGAGGTACGTTATTGTGAACATAGTACGTTCACAACATGACACTACGAGAGTACAATCTACCACATCCAGCGGACAACAGTTGTGAAAGGTTGCAGTTACTCCTCCTCTTGCCTAAGTATTGAGCTGACGTGTGACGACTTCATTAAATAACGGATGTCGTCAAATGCACAAATATCTGTCGATATCGCACGTGAAAGTGCAAGGTCAAGGTCACGTACAACTGAAAAGCAATAGACGTAGAGCCTTTTCCTCGATATTAAACTGATAAAGTGCTTCAGAGTTCAGAGGACATCACAAAGGTGCCTCGTCATGTAACCCTGCTGTCTCCAGAATGAACTTAATTGCACAACCTTTGTCAAGCGATTGGTATGTTCATGATGGTTTGTACAGATACTTCTGTGCAACATTCTTCACATAGTACACGTGCAGATATGACGGCGTAGCGTTTCTAAAAGTGACCGATTAGATTTGAGCTGGCATGCAAAATAGACCTTCACTCACTCAAGACATACACGCTAAACATACTTTTAGATCGTGTGTAAAACAGACACATGATACCTTCTATTCTAGTAATACGTTCTGTAAATTCCAATAAGTGAACTATCAGAAGTAACCTTTTAGGAAAAATCTTTTCTCTTAATAACGTTGTGGCATCCATGATCAAAATGTTTAATGGGTTCTCGGCAAAATAAAATCGTCTCACGTTTGTTATTGCCTGAAACAAGCAAAATGTAAAACGTAACAAAATCGTTCGGGTTAGAATTGGTCTTCAGTAACCCACGCTTGTCGTAAGTGGCGATTGGCTAGTTAGACTCGCTCACACATGTCCAGTTGTAGTGAAAGACTGTAACCATACAATCCGTGAAGATCCGGGTTAGAATTGATCTTCAGTAACTTATACTTGTTGTAAGAGGCGACTGACGGATCAGGTGGTCAGGCTCGCTGACTTGGTTGCCACATGTCATAGTACCCAATTGCGTAGATCGACGCACTTGATGTCAACCACTGGATTCGTCCACTGACTGGTCAAGGCTCGATTATTTGTTACAGCACAGACCGAACAAAAACAAGATCTAATTTACGTTACAGTACATATATGTTTCCTGTCATTACACAGAAAGATTTGTTAGATAGTTTTACTGTAGACTATTTTCATTAAAACGGTACATTTCCAAAACATAATCATGGTTTACATGTACATCATATGTAGCAACTAAATTGATACATTTTCACAGTTTCTGTAACTGAATACATCCAGACGAAACGTACCGGTGATGATTTGTAATATTTTTTTGTCAGCCATGATGGAATTGTTCCTTTTTCTAAAAAAAATAAACTGTCAATTATTAATGTTAGACAATGGCTTAGAACGACCAGCTGTTGTTGCATGTTATAAGCTTGTCTGTCCAACATTACTTTCTCTGTATGGCTGAAACAAACTCGATGCAACATTAAATTTTAACACACTCAGTTAGTCATTTGTTACTCTTGAGCAGAAGCTTGACTGTTGATTTTTCCATGAAAAATATAATATTTTATCTCAACAGTCGGTTTTACCTTTGAAAGTCATATTTGAGATTTAAATGGTTTTCAACATCACTTTTATTATATACCGTAACACAAAAGACATTTGTCGCCGCGAATAGCTGCAGCATTGCTTTTGAGGCGCAACACATTTGTCACTCACTCACTTAGAACTGATCTACAGTAACCCATGCTTGTCGTAAGAGGCGACTAACGGGAATCGGGTGGTCAGGCTCGCTGACTTAGTTGACACATGTCATCGTATCCCAATTGCGTAGATCGATGCTCATGCTGTTAACAATAAAAGTGCTTCACACATTGTGCCAGGGTGGGAAATAAAACTCGGTGGTTTCGATTAGCAAACAACTATGGGTGACATTTTAAATGCATTATTAAGGAATGAAGGTTTGAAATCTGCCGTTAGAATAAATATTTTACAAAACTGTCATTGTTGTGTTATATTTTGTGTTAAAAGTTTGCGCAAATGATTTTTGGGTTCATCAAGTAAAACATAACTGAAACATAACCGCTTCATACCTCGTGAAAGTTCCATACATGTGAGATGAAGTTTTAGCTTTCATTATCCAAACTTCAACAAGATACATATTTAGCCTACCGAATATTCCATGTTCAAACGCGTTGTTTTTATCGGGTACCAATGTTTCATTAATTACACACTGGTTTTACCTGTCACGAACTAAAATGGGTTCGGAAACTGGTGCCTTATTTTTTTTCGTATACAGTTCTTGCTCCGTTCTTTTTTAGCTTGGTGCATACTCTAAGAAAAAAGTCTTTTACTCAGAAACTGCTGAAGTTCTCTCGAATCAGTGTTTGCATGCTTTTGGAGGAGATAATGATCAAGCCTTGGTTAAAAAAATAGTCCCATAAAATATTCTTCCAGTCTTTGTTTCTCTTACTCCATGTTCAATTTCTGTCTTAAAGATACGCAATGGCAGGCATAGTGTCTAAATGGGAAATATATTCTTAGAATCGGATGAAGTTACATGACGTTACCCAAGTCTGAATTCACAAATTGAAGCCATGTGCTTTTTTTGTTTAAGAGAAAGGTCCTTTTGTGTCTCTTTAACTTTTAATATGTTTCTTTCGGAGTGCTGGTCACTTTCTGGGCTTTTGTGACTCGTGTCCCTAGTACACTGGTCCACCTTCAATTCTATATTTAGGGTCTTCATTAATATATTGTCCTAAATATTACCATTGTTCTAAAATTACATGCAAGGTTTATAGCTACACCTCTGATATTCTAGTTTTTTTGTTTTGTTTTGTTTTGTGTTTTGCTGTCCTTTGTCGGCAGATTATATTACTAATTCCAGGTGACTAGTCACGTGTTTCAAAGCGTATCGAAGTTTCCCTCGTGGTGACATGGTCGTCAGGTATCACGTTCGTCAGTTTTCGAAAGCGAATATGAAACAGGAAGATAACATATACATAAAATCATTTTGATATGTTTGCAATTATTTGCTAATTGTATAAGTTATTGTTTGTAAATAAATATAAATATCAGTGCGTAATAATTTGGTATGATTTTAAGTGATGCATTGTTGTAAACATTTAACATTATTGGTGTATGTGAACCCAAGTTAGTATTTTTATTGTTTACAGTCAATCTCAACTCAACAAGTCTACTAAGAATAAAGATATGACGTCACTCTCGTATTATCGTTCGTTCGTTCGTTATAATGAATGTATAATTTTGTTTCAGTCACATGGCTGACATACTGCCGATGTGACTAAAATCTTAACTCACTCACAATCGAAAAAGTCAACGATTAAGGGCTCGTTCCATTTTTTGTGTACATCGGTAATCTCATTGTTTGGAGTATATATTGTCTATGTTATTCATAGACAGTTGCAGTATACAATCTTTACATTCTCAGGGATCGACCATTTGTTCAAAGGAGAATAGATGTTTATTTATGTACTTTTTGTCGGAAACAATTATATGTCCTGAAAATAAAATATCAAATGGTCGCTCCCTAACAGTTTCCATCCATGTCCTCGTCTTGATCAGGGGCGGTGAAGCCTAGTGGTTAAAGCGTTTGCTCGTCATGTCGAGAACCCGGGTTCGCTTCCTCACATTGGAACAATGTGTGAAGCCCATTTATGGTGTCCCCCGCCGAAATATTGCTGGAATATGGCTGAAAGCGGCGTACAACTAAATTCACTCATTCACTCGTCTTGATCAGGGGGTAGTGACAGTAGTAATGTTTAGCTATGTTGCACAGAGTACTCTCCCATAAATACTTCATGTCTCGCTCTTCATACTGAACACAGTCCTGAGGCAACACAGCGTAATCGGGCTCCTTCGGCAGCCAGTAGAACTGTTCTATGTTCCTGCCATCAGTCCAAGTCTATTCACCAGAAGCATCTGATCTCGATGCCCCAATGAAGCGCGGTCCACCGCTGGCTGTAAGGATGAGTAAACGGTCGTTAAGCACTCACATTAACGAAATAGGGGCGGCGAAGTAACATAGTGGTTTAAAGCGTTCACACGTCAAGCCAAAGACCCGGGTTCGACTGTGTACATGTGTGAAGCCCATTTCTGGTGTTCCCCGCCGTGATATTGCTGAA